TTTTTTTTTTTTCAGTTGAACTAGTTTTTGTGTTTAGCCCATTGTTTCTCTCTGGCACTTTCTGATGGTGTTTACCGAAGCTCTGCACTTTGCTGATACTGCCAGTTTTGTTCAGCAGGGAAAGGTAGAGGGCGACTTCTGCCTTGCAGACAGAGCTATGGGTTTTAAAGCAAAGTAGCCCATTGTTAACAGTTAATCCTTAGGATGCTGAGAAAACTGCTGACAATGCTCTCATTTCCCTAGGCTTACACCTTTATTTTTCTTTATTTCCTATTCCTATTTCTGGAACCTACATTTCTATACTCTTATTTTATTCATCGTATATTATTATTATATAAATATATATACAATATGTAATGAAAATACAAGTAAATAGAGCATGTATATAATAAGAACATACAACGATTATAAGAAGACTACAAAAATACACCTATTCTTATTCTTGGACTCTTTATACCCCCTTCAAGTATAACCAGAACCAAACCTTAGATTCATTGTGATTATCTTAAAGTCTCTGATTTTCCTTTGTGTTTATTGGGGAAATAAAAAAATTGTTCCTATTCCCTTACCCTACACCATTATCTCAGTGACACACGGTGAATTCAGACTACACCTGACAAATGACCTCAACTGGCAAGGACCAAACTTCCAGTTCTTGATTCTTGAAGGCAAGGTTAAAAGATACCGCTGTTGTCACTATAGCTTGGCCTGGAAGCTACCATGGGTACCCAAGGCCCTTCATTCAGCATGGTTTCACACTTCATGGCGCGAGCATCCTCGAGGAGGATCATGGATGAGGGAACCATAGACTAGAGATAAAATGTCTAGGGAACCCAGGGGTTTCCATTCTCTTTGGAGAAAACTGTGTGGACTCAAGGGGACCCTAATCTAGAGGGTGGTAAAGATCACCCTCAGGGAGACTTGGGGGAATTCAGTAACAGGTTCAGGATACTTTCTGATGATCTCACATGAAACCATTCTTTCAACCTAATTTCTTCTCTTCAAATGCCACCATATCTATTTTTGAAACTGTTAAATCCTCTGAAGTGTTTTAAATCCCCATTCAGTGAGGACTATGTGCTTGGAGTAGACTCCATGTTACCCCATAAGGCTTCAGGGTGAGATAGGGTCTCACCCATCTTGACCTCCAGTTAAATAGGGTCTTCTTGGTGCTCACAAACCAAATGTAGCTCTTTGGGAAGAAAGATGGGCTTTTCCAGGAAGTGTGGATGAGCCAGATCCACAGTACCTTCTCGACAATTTGAGCCAAGAGTTTCTGCATAGGCCAAAAACTCATTTATGCTCATGGATTGTCAAATATTATGGTTTTGTTGTTACTTAGAATTTCTACTGGGAGTCCCAAGTGTTTCCTGAGCTCTTAAAAAGGATTTTTGGTTCCTTCTAATGGAAGTAGTATCCAGGGCTAAGGAGACTACTGCTTGTAATAGCCACTAGGAAGTGGTATAGATCTAGCTAGAACCTACTCTGCCCAGAAAGTGGCTACTGCCCACTGATAGTGATGAGAGTTCAGTGGTTAGGAACAATAACTGCTCTTCCAGAGGACTGGGTTCAAATACACAGGAACACAAGCAGAGAACCTTGAGTGCAGCTATGGAGTTTTTGGGTTTTTTTTTTGTTTTTTATCATAGCAGAGGTTAGAGTGAAGGATTTTTAAGGTTCAGGATCCCTGATTGACTGATTTTTGTCTTGGGTACTGGTTAAGGGACATCGGGGGATCCTATGTACAATTGTTGGAATGTTAGGCATTTTCCTTGGACCATTGGGTACTTCCCTCTTGGGTGCTGGTGCCTGCTGGTCTCTATTGAGTCTGTCATGGCTGGGTCCTACAGGTCTTTAGTTTTCAGCTGTGGTCCTAAGTTTTAATCATAAGGCAAAGCCAAGTTACCATTGTAAACAATTTAGTGTTTTTAAATCAATAATAAGGGAATATTCTTATGCCATAAAATCTTGTTTTTGAGTAATGTACATCCCTGTACATGAATACATGGATGTGTAGCTTTAATACCTCATTAAACTGTCCTTGTCTTAAATTCTATCTTTTATAAACCTTGGTTTTAGGACATGACAGGAATGATCACACAGAAATATATCCATATCCAAAATAACCTGGTGCCCTAATGTCTCCTGGTGGACCCATTTCCACATGGTCACCTCCATCTAAGATGGCAGTGAAGTCATATGACCTCTCTCTTCAACCTTAGCCATGATGGTGACGGCCCATGGGCTGTGCTGTAAGATGATGACAAACCACATGGTGTTTTCCAGAGCAGTTTTAATCGGGAGTTACCAGTTTGTTTGTTTGTTTGGTTTTGGTTTTTGAAACAGCTTTGGAGCCTGTACTGGAATTAGCTCTTTCCAGACTGGCCTTGAGCCGGCATGTGTCACAACTACCCAGATGGAGTTACCTGTTTTTTAGTTTTTAATCATACTCAATTTTTTAAGAATTGTTTTTAAAATATGTAAATTTGTAAGGCTGTGTGACATTTGTGCTTATAAAATGCTTCATATTGTTAATATTTGGACTTAAAATAAAAAACTAAAAATTAGGGTCACAGCCAACAGAAAGAAAAATATTTCTCTAATCTTAAATGTGCTGCTACAAGATACTATCCCTTCCTTCTTTCCTGAAATCTGATGCCAGGGAGGAGGAGAAAGGAGAACCTAGGTTGCTAAGGGGCACATTAGTGACAAGCAGGGCTAGTACTCAGGAGTGCCTTATTTATGCAAAGATGGAATAAAACCAACAACCCAAAGCAACAACAAAAAACATCTCTCCAAAATCCCAAACTGTTCTCAGTTACCCCTGGGTCTAGGGAATAAAGTTTCCCTGGGGTTGGCTGCAATCCCTTTTTCGTCTTGTCCCTGGCTGAAGTAGTGTTGAGTCCAGGGGTCAGACAATGATTGGGGGACAGATCACCAAAGTCTACTAAACTAGAAGCAAACTTTACTCTAGAAAAAGAAGTAAAGAAACCTCCATGGGGCAAACAAAGTTTATTAGCTATAAGTGACCACAGCCAGAGATCGGACTTCTGTAGCTATGGCAATGGCAGTTTCTAAACTCCCTGTTTTATAGCAAGAAGCAAGCATTAGGTATGAACAAAAGAATTTTTACAATACTGAGGTAAAACTCAGATACAGGAGAGGGAGAAAGACATCACCCGTCGGAAAAGACAAGTAGGGTATGTTAGATTGTACTTATTTGTAGTCCTTTTGATCTGTGAGAAGTGGGTCTAAGTCTTGGAACTTCCTCAGTTCTCTGAAGGTTACGCGAATTTTTTTTTTAAGTTTGTGAAAACATGTAAGTTTTAGACATATTAACTGTTTATAATCTGTCCTGAAGTTTAGACTGTAGAAATGACAGTATACTTGTACCATGTATGGATTTGGCTGAAGGCATTAACATTGTTTCTTCATCCAGAAAACTGTGACAGGTGTTTTCTGTGCAGTAGAAAGCATCTTTGAGGTCTATAGTTAGGAAACAAGCAAAGGGAAGTTGAAATCTTGAGCTTGTAGCTATGGTGACTGTGGTAGTATTCTGCCAGAGCTAGATTAATAGCTTATCAGAATTTTGTCAATTCATGCTAAGAGTATGGAATTTTGGGGTCTTAATATAACAGTAGCATATTGAAAGAGAAATCTGGAACACATTTTATTCATTTAAACATCTCAAATCATTTTTGCTTTATCAGCAAAACAAAGTCTTTTTTGTCCTCAGACCTTTGTAACTTGCATTTATGCACCATAAATCACTTTTTTGTACCCTGAAACATTCTTATCCTTAGGCCTTCATAACTTGCATTGTATGTCTTAAAACACTTTCTTAGACCCTCAAACATTCTTAGGCCCTCACATCCTAAGTTTTGCATTTTAAAACAGCTTTTATCTAATTTGCCATTAGGTCCAAGTAGCCGACCACTGAGCACAGTTGCTGTAAAATAAGTTCCTGTAAACAAAGGAATGGGAAGAAGTTATACTGAAATCTGTTTTGTGAGTTTATCTTTTTTAATGTCTGGTAACAAGGTGACCTGTGTCTGGACTTAGTTTGGGTCTAAGAGAGTGAGGTCTGTGATGTGAATTTTATAGAGAACTGAAAGCAGCTGAAGCCCTGGTTGCTGCTCTTAAGCTGGCAAAGCTATTACTTGTACAACAGTGTCAGAGTTCTGAAAGGAATAAACTTTACCTGAGTTATTGATTAAAAGTTGACAGAGAATTACTTGCTGGCTGTCCAGACAGCTACCCCAAGGTCCTCCTTGGTCGTTAAGGGCAGGTCATAGGGCAACATCTGTCTTCCAGCTGGCAGAGGTCGACTTGCAAGTTCCCTGAAGATCCCACAAGCTTCCCTGGTATAAGAACTCGTGAGAGGACCAGCCTACCTTTTGCCTTAGGCAACTCTAGGTATTAAATTCCCCAGTGTCCTGTTTTATCCACCATCTAAAGAGGGTCTTTGCCGCTTGAGGTGAAAGGCAGGTTTGTTCAGCGGCTAGTTCTGCCAATTTTGAGGCCAGTTTTGGGTAGAGATTCTTCTGCTTCCATCAGTCTTCTTTGGATGAAATAAGGGAGC